GGAAATAGATAAATATTCTCTATTTGACATAAAGTGATTAGATGAGCAGAATAAGTACTAACGATTCTATTTGTCTTAACAGACTGTCAATTGCTTTGTTTATTACATCTTTATCAAACCAAACTTATTTCCATTCGATTGCTATGAAAAGATTCTATACTACTTCTGATGCGGCCTATTATGAATATTTTTTTTGGGGGGGGGTTAAACTTCATCATTTACGTTTCCCAAAATCCAATATAAAAGAAATTTTGAATTTCACTTGCAAAATTCAAAAAAGTAAAATTAAACAATAGTCACCTCTCAAAAAATACTTGTTTTTTTATTTTCCAAGCTAAACAAAGTTGAATGGAGAAATGAATTGAACGTGCAATGGGATGGATGGAAGGATTACATTTTAACAAAATCAAAGAATTTAATTTTGAAACTGAAAGCTTTGTTGAGGACAAGAAACAAAATGACGATCTCCCCAACTCTCTCAGCATAAGATATGTTTAACTTGGTGAACCAATAAAGCTAGAAACAAAACTACAAAAAAATATAAGTACAAATTTAGAGATGTAGGGTATCGAACCCTGTACCTCTCGCATGCAAAGCGAGTGCTCTGCCATTTGAGCTACATCCCCACTTGCCAATCATAAGTTTTAGCTCGAAAAACCAAGGCTTGAATGACATGAATTTTTTCTTTTCTTTTTCTTTGTCCTTTCCTTTCCATTGCCTTCTATACAATTATGAACAAAAACAATCCTTAAATCTTGACTTCAATCCTTTCTGAACAAAAACAAACCAGGGCTCGAGTTGCATTCAATCCTTTCTGAACAAAATCAATCCCAAAATCAATCCAAAATCTAAATCTAAATCAAAAAATCAAAATTAAAAAAAAAAAACCAAAACTACACAGATATTCCAAATCTACATAAATCAAAATCAAAATCCAAAACAAACAGAGGAAGAAGGAGAAGAACAGAGGAAGAAAAAAGAAGAAAAGTCAGAAGAAACAAAGGAAAGAACAGAGAAAGAAGGAGATGGGGAAGAAGAGAGAAGGAACATAGATCATCGTACAGAGATCATCGTCGCAAACCTACCATCACTGTCATCGCCATCACTGTTGCTCTGTGTGTATACACAGATCTTTGTATACATACACACATAGATATGTGTATATACACAGCCCGTCGTCTCCGTCTTCCTCCCTCCAGCCCATCGTCTCTCTTCCTTCCACTTCTCTCTTTCTTCTCTCTTCCCTGTTTCAACGATAACCTATTTCAGCGAGAAAAAAGAAAGGCGAAAAAAAAATAAAAAAAATTCAAAGCAACGTCGTTTTGAATTTTGAGCCAATCGAGCCTCGAAAATTTTAAGCTACCAAACTTTATTCTAAGTTTCATATGTTAATATCTTCTTTGGTAATCTGAAAGTTTCCAAAACATCTTAGCCTACTGAGTAATAATCTCATCTTCCAAAAATATCATAGTGAAAACGTGTCCAACTAATAACAAAGGTTCTATACCCGCAAATAAATGAATAATTTGATTGAATCCGCAACTATATATTGTTTTATAAAAGAATTAATTTCTTTAAAAATGTTGACCAATTAACATACCATTTATAGACAGTCATTAAATTTGTGCATAAATATAAAAAAATTACAATAATACAAATTTTATTGATCATGAATTCCAAACTCATGCATATCTCAAATCAGCAATACTACAAACTAATCCAAAATTTAACTAAACAATTAATAATTCAAATTTATTCATATATAAATCTTAGGCTTCGTTTAGGAAGTCAAATTTGGATTTTTTTTGGCTATTTTAGCCATAAAAAACAAAATAGACTTTTTAGTTTAATAAGACAAAATATCACATCCAACCCATAATCATTACATTCTTCCTCTCATAAAAAAGTCAAAAATTCTTCTCAAACAAAGTTTTTTAACCCACAGCTAAAATAGCCAACAAAACCAAAAAACCAACCAGTTCCCAAATGAACCCTTATTCTTTATTAATTCAATTTCTACAATACAAACACATTCAAAATAAATTCAAAATCAAATCACAACCAAATACCAAGATAATGTAGAAAATGTCAAGTCACAACCAAATCCCACTTGGGTAATCTCTCAAATCACAATCAAAAATACCCAAAATGATAATTTTTTAGAACAATTTTGGCCAAATCGACAAAGGAGATTCAATAGCGAAACCAAGGCTCCGTTTGATAAGCCTCTCAAATTATAGTTCTACCCATTGATTTTTGTATTGTGTTTGTTTTGAATTTTCAAATCATAATTCTACACGCATTTTTCAAAACTATACTCAAAACATAATCATTATTTTTCAAAACTCATAACAAACACATAATTTAAAACTCTTTTCAAAACTCAATTCAAATCGATATTTTAATTTTTTAAATGTTTTAAATATTTTTAAAATATTTTGATTTTGTTAAGATTTTAAATATTTTAATATTTAAATCTGTTACAATTTTTTTAATTTTTTAATTTTTTGAATATTTTTAAATATTACAATTTTAATCTTTTAAATTTTAAAATATTTTATAAAAATAAATTCAAACTCTATTTTATAAAAATATTTTTAAATATTTTAATTTTTTTGTTATGTATTTGGTTACGATTTGAGTGTAGAGTTGTGAAAGTAGTATGGAGTTTCGAGTTATGTGTTTGGTTATGAGTTTTAAAAATAATTTTTTAATTGAATTTTGTTTTATGTGTTTGGTTACGATTTGAGTGTAGAGTTATTTTTAAATTTAAAATATTAATTTAAATTATTTAAATTTTTTGAATATTTATTTTAATTTTTTACTTATTAAATTTTTTAGATTATTTAAATATTTATGATTTAAATTTTTTAATTATTTATTTTGGAAAAAAATTATTTCCTTTGTAATATTTTCAATTATAAAATTGATTAATGTTGTTTTCTGTTAATAATAAAAAATTTTAATTGAATTTTAAAAAGAGTTTGGTTATAAGTATTGATCAGAATTTTCAATTGGATAAAAGTAGTATGTTTTGTTATGAGTTATAACAATTTGAATTAAGTGTTGAAAACTCTTTTCAAAACTTATAACTAAACAAATTTTCTTACTTCACATATCAAATCAAACTTTCAAAACTTAATTCAACACTCTATTTAAAAATTATAACCAAACAAATTTTCTACACACAAATCATAATTTCAAAACACACAAACTCAAAATACAATTCATATTCTCAAATCATAGTTTGAAAATCATACCAAACGGAGCCCAAAATTTTCAAAAACTTCTTTACAAGTTATAATGTGAAAAACAAACTAATAAAATGATATAATACTGTTGAAATTGTTACTTATTACAAGGATTTGAATAAGAACAAAAATACAAAAGAACTAAAAAAAAGTTTACTGATTACAATAATAAAAAAATGATTACAAAACCATTAAATTAAAACTATCCCCAAAAGAAATAAACTATTCTTAGGCTAGACGCTAGGGGTGAGCGCAGGTCAGTTGCGGTTATGGAATCTCTAATCCGCTATCTGTCCGCCAGATTAGCAGATTAGAAAAAATCAATCCGCATTTGTCCGCCAATCTAGCAAATGTAGATTGAGCGAATTGCGGGTTTGACAGATAGATGCGAATCGGTTTGGCGATTTGAAATTTTATAAATTTTCAACATAGTTCAACTTGTGCACTACCTCAAAAAAAAAAAGTACTACAGTCAATAACTTAAAAAAATATTACAATTACTACATACCTCATCCAAAAAAAGAAAATTATATTACAAACACATGCATCATCTACATAAAATATTACAATGTGTAGTTTTTAAAATATAAAAACAATTAAAATCACCAAAACTATAAACATAGCAATAGTAGATATTGTATATCTTTGTATTGTTATATTTATATATGTTTTTTAAAATAAAAACCAACTAGAATATATCATATCTTCTATTTATTACTTTTAAAATTAGATTTAAAAATCAAAAAATATAGATAAATAATACATTTATTTTTTTCAATTCAAAAAATATATTCAAATTGAAATTTTTTTTTGACAGAATATTAAAACTCTTTTTTAATTAAAAACACAAATAAAATATTTAAACAAATTAAAAACATAAAATCTTATAAATTACTAAAAGTGCTCGCCGTTTAACAATTTGATTGCGGCCAAAAAAACCTCAAATCCGTTATCCGTCCACCAAATTAACAAATTGAAAAAAATTAATCCGCAACTATCCGCTTATCATCACGCATCCGTCCAACATGCAACGAATCAATTCAGTTCAATCAAAAAATTAAATGCTATCTGTCTTAAATTATTTAAAATTAAACACTATTTAAATAACAAATCGATATATTTAAAAAATTAAATAGTGTTTAATCATTGCTTAAATTTAAAATTAAACACTATCTATTTTAAATTTCAAAAAATTAAACGCTATCAAAAACTATTCAAATTATTTAAAATTAAATTATTTAACAGATCAATATATCCGCTATTCACCCCTACTAAATGCTATCTATCTTAAATTGAACTCATGTAGAGTTGTGTTGGTGATTAATTCCATTTTGTTGTCTTTTTGTCTTATTTATATTACTAGGTAATTTCCCTTCAAAACTTGAAGAATCACAATCATTGCAACATCTTAGACAGTTGGCAATATCATGAGCAATTCTATACAGCCACTAATCCATGTTATTTTCCTTTTGTTCTCATATAAATCCTTGAATAATAGAAATCTAGGTGTATAGGTAACTTTACTTTACTTTGTAATCACTTTAGCTACACCAACAAAACAAATTAAATAATAATAATAGTAATAATAACAATAATAAAAAATAAATATATGTGATTATAATTTTATATTAAAAATAATTTATGATTTAAATCAATAGACCAAAATCAACAAGCTATAAGTAATGAAATTTGGCCACAATGAATTAAACAAGACTTAACCATGATCAACAAACCATAATCAACAGAAAATTATTTTTTGATGCCAACAATCTGCCTTGGTTCCTTGCGCATATGATTTGATTCAAACAGAATATACCAAACACAATACATTTTTTTCCCCTTTTGTTTGGAATAAGAAAAATTGCAAATCTGGTAGACCTTAATCAGAACTGGAACTACTGACTATCCATCATATAAACAAGAACTAGTTGAAAGAAACTAGTCAATTACAAGCTATTGACAAAATGCTTCACCAAAAAACACTACCAACATTCCAATGTGCCAACATCTAATTCTTCTAAACATTACCCAAAACACTTGCAATTAGAAGAACCCTAGAACTCCTGAGACGCAGATCCTATCTCGCCCTTTCCTTTCCCAGTCTTCTTCGGCAGAAGATTCTGATGAATGTTAGGCAAAACTCCTCCATTCGCAATCGTCACAGACCCCAACAACTTACTCAACTCCTCATCGTTCCTCACAGCCAACTGAATGTGCCTCGGAACGATCCGATTCTTCTTGTTATCCCTCGCAGCGTTCCCGGCAAGTTCCAAAACCTACACAAAATCAAAATCCAAACCATTAAGATCAAAATTATCCAGGAAAATGGAGAAAAAATTAAAGCTCGAAGGATTAAAAACCTCGGCGGCGAGGTATTCGAGGACGGCGGAGAGGTAGACGGGAGAACCAGAGCCGACTCGCTGAGCATAGCGGCCTTTTTTGAGGAAACGAGCGATTCGGCCTACGGGGAATTGGAGGCCGGCCTTGTTAGATCTGGAGACCGATTTCGAAGCTCTGGGCTTGCCTCGGCCGAGATTGCCCTTCGATGATGGTGATAGTGCTATTGTAGAGCTCATGGTTGGTTTGGGATTCGAAATTTGAGCGTTTGAATAGAGACGGAGTGAGAAATTTTGATTGTTTGGTTTGTTTATGTTTTTGTTTTGTATGTGGAGTGTTTGGGTTTATATAGGACTTAGGTCTCGTTCGTGATTGGCTGTTCTTGGTTTCACTCGGATCGCCAGCGTGCCAACTTATTTTGGAATTTGGCGTCGCGCGGGAATTGGCTCCCCCTTGCGCTATTTTTCATTTTTTTTAATTTTTTTTAGGTCGGTGTAAATGTAAATTTAAATTTGATTAATAAAATAAAATGGGCAAAGCATCAGTGAATTCTAAGGTCTTATTTGTCATTTTTTAAAAAAGTTAAAGAGTCACTATCTTTTTTAAGTCATATTATTTTATTTAAGTCATATAACTTTTCTATTACATCATTTCAAATTCAATCCATATTTCAGATAAAGTTACAAAGTGCACTTATTTAGAACATCCTAAACAACTCCTAAATTTTAATTTGTTGAATTATTTGGTCCTATCTTTTATTTTACAGACTAATAAGTCTTGTTTAAACGTTAATTACATATATACCCATTTAATTAACACATAATCTTTTTTTAGTAGAGGGCAAATGTACGTTTTTACTGAAGTTGTAATGACAAGAATTCCCAAAAACTTACTATAGACTTTTTAATTATTTCCCTCCTTTTCGAACAAAACGGTCTAGATATTATGGAAGATTCTAGGTTTGTATCACAACATTAGTGACTGGGATCCAAAATTTGTGTGATTGAATATTCACATTCGACAATGTTGACCCTCAAATATTGAATGACACAATAACATAGCACATGAACCACAAAAAACCCTAGAAACCCAACAGGGTTTACGAGTCATTAACATTACCAGAAGCTATTTTCCGTGAAGACTGAGGATTCTTCAACTGTGCTTGTCGGTGATACCATAACGTCAACTAACAGATGTCGTTAGTGATTTGGTGTCGTTCTGCGATAGCAGTAGGTATGTGAATGGTTTCTGTTAAACTAATGTCGTCAGTGATTAGGTTTGCAAACCGTATCGTGGTTTGAAATTGGGATTGTTGGTTGTTTTTAATGACATTGTTTGCCGAACTCGGAAATAAAAGTTATATGTTTTTTGATGGACGAAGTGTTGTTATGCTGTGTTTAATGTTTGCATAAATGCAATGTCGATGTGGTTATGTGTTATAACGATAAGATTTGCTAGGAAAAAATGGGATTCAGGTTGATGTCATTTTTTGGGGATGGACAAATAATGTAGTTGCTTGGTATGTTTATTTTGTGTGTGTGAGTAAAGTGATTTTGGAGTGGGGTGGACGTTAGTGATTACAAGCGTGAGAAATCGATGTGGGCTATGTTGATGGTGTTTGGGTAGTTATCCACAATTATGCGAACAATATAAATGTTAGGTGTAGCTCAATGTTAGATACAATTATGTTTTGGGAACAAGGTGGGGATGTTGTTGATGGGTAGTTAAGGTGGATTTTGTTGCTAGTTTTGAAATTGAGATTGGGTGGTAAAGGGTTTGAGAATGTGAGTATCTATGCAAATCTTTGTATTACTGTTTCGTTAAGGTAGTCGTTATCCCAAATTTAATGGTGGAAAATGTTAGAAAAAATAAGTTTTTGGTGACTTTAATTAAATATTAAAGTGGGTCCCAACCATCTATTGTGTTAGGTCCAAGTGGGTCTAGATATCTTGCAATGAGATTTTTACACCACAAAAAAAATGACCAAAAACCATTGAGAATTGAATGAGAAATTGCCCTATGAAATTAGCTTCATGAAAGAGGTAATGGGATTTGTAACTCCCATAATATTGCAAAGTTTAATGGTGCATTAATGAGATTTGTGACTCCTGCCTTTATTGCAGATGTGAATGGTGCATTAGTGACCAGCCATAAAGGCCGGAGGCTCCTTATCTCTCCCCTATACATGGATAAATTAAGACCCTTTGTCGAGTCTCAAAATAGAAATTTTTACTTCCATTTTACAAGTCAGTTTGCTAGAAAGTTCCTACAGTGAGAGAATGCTACCACAGGTTTTGTTCACTAAGCTAAACAGAGAGTGCTTTTGCCATAGCTGGTTTTTGATTGTCGTATCCTGGAAGACAGATGCTGGAATTCCTCAAGCACTCGACCTGTGAGGCGGCGAAAATTTATTTTAAGGAAACTGCTAACATACAGGCTTCGATTTACTTTCTTTTTATTGGGTCTTTCTGTTGAAATTTAGTTGTAATTCTCAGCATGGGTTATTGGTATATAATTTTGATTTATTCATGAATCTATTTATTTTATTTCACAATTTGGACAACAGAAAATGTAATATATTTGTTTTATGATTAGTGGGAGTAATTGTGATGATTTTGTTGGGTGATTGGTTTAGAGTTTGTGTGGGGATATATTTTCAGAGTACCAACACGTGGCAAGGTGACGCCAACGTGTCAGCCGAGGTGCCACGTGTCCTGGCAGTTATGCCGAGGTTATCTCGTCAAGGCCGAGGTTATCTCCGAAGATATCGGAATCCGAGATAAGCAGGTAAGGGACAAGAGTCCTAGGATGAAGAAAGACTCCAGGATGGATAAGGATAACACTCTTGCAGAGTCTGTCCTTATCTCTTGAGGAGTCCAAAGTAAGCACAGAATTGGAGTCCATAGAAGTCAGGCTTCTAGTGGGACTAGGATTGAGTAAACTATAAAAGAGAGGCACCCCCGTGGGTCTAAGGTACGCAATTTATGTTTTGAACAATAAGTTTAGCACTTGATTATCTTTGAGAGATATACTGACTTGATCGTCGGAGTACCCCCGGGTGGAAGAACCACCGCCAGAGCCTTTTTCTTCTGTTACAGGTTAGCTGAAGCCATCTATTCTGCCGATGCTCTCCAATTGATTACTAAGTGGGCAGTGTGGTCAGAAAATTACCCACACAATTTGGCGCCGTCTGTGGGAAGAAGGAAGAATAGATGGCCAGTAATGGACATAAGGAAAAAATTGGGGACGACACTCCTACTAGGAATGGCAGACCAATTGACCTTGACATTGAAGGAGACAACCACAATGCAGAAACCCGTGACCAGGATCACACAGAGAAAGATGTCGGCCATGAGGGCGACACTTCGAAGAAGACAGACCAAGGCCAGTACTACAATGAAGATAACCTCCAGGTATGGAGGGACAGGTGCCTACGGAGGGATGAGGAAGTAAAGGAGTTGGTAAACAAGCTGGCAAACCTACAGTCGGTCGTCAACTTCATGATGCAGAACAATGTTATGCAGCCACCATACCCGCTGCAAGATACGCCGATGCCAGCAATTAATACCCAGAAGGGAGGAAGGAAAACAATCCCCGAAGCCCCTCAGCACACCAGGAGCGGAAGGCACTCTCACTGACCTTCCAGGGAAGTCGGACAAGAGGAGCCGAGGCAAGAAGAGTCCCAAAGAACGCATCACACGAAGGATCCAGGGCCCAAAGAACATCGGCATGTTCGAGGGCAGGCATTATGATTCGACACAACTCATGGGGAGAGATCGAAAAGGGCCCACCACGAGGCCGAGAGTAGTATGCCGAAGAAACTAAAGTCAGTAGATAGCCGAGCTCCTGGACGGAGCAAAGAAGACTTGAGAAACTACCTCAAGAGGAAGCAACAGAACAGAGAAGCCGAGGTTACCTCACCCGACAAGCCGAAGACACCATTCTCGGTAGAACTGGACAAATTTGAAGCGCCAAAGAGATTCAGTATGCCGAGGCTTCAAATATACGATGGTAAGTCAGACCCTAACTTCCACGTTGGATTATTCTTGAACTCAATGGCATTATACAGTGGAAACGAGCCGTTGCTCTGCAAAGTGTTCCCCTCGTCCTTTGGGGAGATTGCGTCAGATTGGTTCCACAAACTACCAAAGCGAAGCGTGAAGAACTGGGAAGGCCTGGCCGAGATGTTTGTGGCTAGGTTTGTGACGAACAAACTAGAGCCCCTGAGGGTTGATGCTCTGATGACTTTAAGAATCACCAAGGATGAAGGCCTGAGGGCCTACGCGAAGAGGTACTACGAGGTATTCAATCGAATACCCGAATGCAACCAAGAAGTGACGGTCGTATCTTTCAAGAACGGCCTAAAAGATGACTGCCCACAACGGAAGTCTTTGGAAAAAACATTGCCAAAAAACATGGAAGAACTCATGGCGAGAATCGAGAAGTACGCCAGAGCCGAGGAAAATGCGTCGGGAAACAAAGAGATAAAACAGGAAAAGGGAAACGGCTCGCCGAAGCGAGGCCGAGGTAACAACGGGCCAACCAAACAAAAAACGAAATTGAGGGGTAAACAGGTAGTGACGACGGTGTTCCGAATCCCAATCCATAAAGTCCTGGATCAAATACGAAACCAACCCTATTTCAGGGCACCAGCAAGAGCACCAGGAGAATTTATGGAAAGAAACGTTGGTAGGCGTTGTGCTTTCCACAATGAAGAAGGGCACCCAACTCAAGGTTGCAGAGCCTTAAAAGCACACTTAGAAGACTTGGTAAGGCAAGGACTTCTGAGGGACCTGGTCGACGAGGCCAGGACAAGGGAAGAACAGGCAAGATTGCCTCAAGCACCAGCAGCTCCACCACCCCCAGCACAGCAACCACAGGCAGGAGGACCACGGGTGGTTAATGTGATCCATTCAAGGGTCAACGAGAATGAAGTCAGAGGAGAGACCCAGAGGGTAAGGCATTTACAGCATGTCTACCAAGTCGGGGAAAAAAGACATCGGCCAGAAGAGTGCCAAGGACCGGTGATAGCCTTTACTGAAGCCGACCTGGAGTTGGTCCAATATCCGCATAATGATGCCTTGGTAGTATCCCTCCAGGTTGGGGAGTACCAAGTGAAACGCATCCTGGTAGATCAAGATAGCTCTTGTGACATCATGTATGTTAGATGTTACAAGGAGTTGGGCCTTCACCTAGACGACATGGAGCAATCGAATGGCCCGATGGTCAGTTTCAACGGAACGCCGACGTGGCCACTTGGCGCAACAAGCTTGGAAGTTCAAGCCGGCACGAAGAAAATCAAGACGAAATTCATTGTGATTGAT